CTTATGAAAAAGAAATCAGAGAAACTGAAGATTACTTTTCTATAGAAGAATATGAAGTATTTCAAGTTAAAAAAAAATAAATAACATAACAACATATAATGCGCGCTTACGGTATAAATTCAATTCTTTAATAAATATATTATTGTATACATTTTATGTGAGCACTGATCCTTTTTCATAAATATTATTGATCACTTTTAAATTAAATAAATTAAATTCGTTTACTTAACTTATTATTAAATATTACTTTATTATTGTCAACCTGTTTTGATGCGGATGATCAGTTCGACGAACGCATTATTTTATAGGTCGGTTTAAATAATTGTTTTTAAATTTAAAAAGGAGAAATGTATTGCTTGAAATACTTTTTCTATTGAAACATAATAATAATTCGTGTAAATCTAAATTTTCTGATAAATATTTAAAGATTCTAAAATCATAAGATCTTAAATTTTCTTTTAAATAACTAGCTACTTTTGATAATTTTTTTAAAAAACCGAACCGTTATTATATATAACCTAACTAAAGTTATAGGTTTGTTAGTTCTTAATTCCTATCAACTCTGCAATGTAAGAAGTTAGTTTCATTTCATAATCATCCTATAATACCTTTCCGTTGATAATTATATTTACGAATGAATTATTAAAATTATCAAAAGTAAATTTTTCAACGACATTTTGTAGCTCCATATTTTCAGGTGATAATTAACCATTAAAAATGAAATTTGATCAAAGGAAATCAATTTTAAACGCTAATTCACCTTTATTAGAAGATAAATGACCATCCGAGAAAAAATGCATTCTGATATAACAATTACAAAATATCGATGACAACTCATTAGTGGTTAAATATATTCGATAGTTTAATGAAATATCGTAAATAAGGAAACTATTATTTGCAAAAAAATCACCAATTATCTGGGACTTTAGATCAATATGTAAATAAATTTAGGTCAAAGGCTGTATTTATGAGATAGATTTTGCATCACTGTGTTCAATAAATCAAAAAAAATTCGTTTTATTCCGTTGCCAAAGAAAAAAAAGGGATATAATATATTTTTTAATAGCATTTTCTGAGTCAGTTCCAATCAAGATGCACGTTTCTAAATTTTAACATATAATAAATCTGTTTTTTTGGTCCAATATTAAAAATAACTATGGATAAATGAAGTTCACTGATATTAATGATAAAATATGTACTTACTAAAAATGTACTGTAATTCTTAACTATTATCGTTATATTACACTTTGAGAATTAAATCATGAAATCTTGATTGTGACTATACTAAGGCTGTGCACGAAATTTATTTATATCTCGTGACCCGACTGTGCCAGATTTTCCAACGTTTCAGGATCTTTTTTTTTTTTTAACTGTTGAATTTAAAAACGATTGAGTTCTATAATGTAACTCTTAAACTGTAAAGGTTTTCGCCCTATAAAAAAAAATTGTCCAGAAAATGTTATCGAAAATGTCCGGGTGCATGTGGAAAATGTCCGGAAAATGTCAAAATCGTTCGGAAAGAGTACCAAAACATGGTGGATTCCAGACATCGCGTGATGTCTTGGAATTTATACCGAAACATGGTGTATTCCGGACATTATCTGGATACTACGGCAAATTCTGACAAATTCCAGAATTTTTTTTCATGGGTCGTAATAAAATGATTTTATAAATATTTTTATTATATTTATGTAACATACAAGATATAAAACAACTAACATAAAATAAAAAAATCGAATCTATTATTTTAATTTTTTATATTAAAACTAGGTAGCATAAAGATTAATTCAAAAACCATCACTACGGTCACCACTATAATTATCCATACTATATTAAAGTCCCATCCCATCACATCCCATATTACATTCCTTAAACCAAACTATATTATTACAGCTGATTATACGAATTTAATGAGATTTGGCTCTTTAGCTTCGTTTGATGAGAAGTTCGAAAGATGATTATCAAGTTATACCTTAAATATAATAATATAAATTAAATGGGAGGGATGTATGGGCAGCAACTATAACTTCTAATTTTTTGGAAATGATTTTGGCGAAAGAGCTTCTAAGGAAAAAAGAGGTGATTGAGCGTGAAAAAGGCACATCAGTCTTACTTAATGTTTGAGATGGTGTAGAATTATGCAAATTATAGTAAATTTAAATTTATTCTTACGGATGCTAATCAGATCAAATTTATTATAATTTATAATGAACATTTTCCTCTTTATTAAAGAAAATAATGCATTAATTAGGAAACAAACAATAAATTTGGTGAAGTTTTATACATTTGACTTGAGTTCTAGGCAGAATTTATTATAAATATAAATACATTTTAATGCTATAGAATATTCAAAACTTACAATGTTATTATATAACACTTTAAATTAAATTATTGTACTAGATACAACTAATTTTTTAGGAGAGATAATAACTTATGATAGAGAATTAACATTTTAGCCAACATTGATGCATTAACTTGGACCTTGGAAATAATAAAATATATGCACATTTATACCAACATTGGATCTAAATATTTTAGTATACAATTAAATTTATTTAGTATTATATTTTATTTCTTTTTTAAAAAAAAAAAGCTTAACTAGAATTGTATTTGGAATACACCACTAAATTGGTATTAATCGTATTGGAATATTCAGCCTCATGGAGTTATGCAAGTCATTATACCATACCACTAATTAAATAAATTGTACCATAAAAAGTAATAAAATTAATGATTACTTCAATACATAATTTCGAATAAATGAGAGACAAGATTTTATAAAAAAAAAAAAAATATAAATGCAGTCTTATTTATATTTTCACGAAGAACGAGCGTTATGTTTATTTATTCGAACGCGAATCTTGATTATCAACCTGATAGGTTTAAAATTTATTTTTTTTTTTATTAAAGTGTCATTTTGTCAAAAGCGCGTTTAAAGAAACTAATATCGTACTAGAAAATTTCAAAAGTTGTGGCAATAATGCCAAAGGAGTGTAGTTAATATATATAGGTCTTTAATAAATATATAGAACTGAATGTGCTCAACATCAGAAAAAAAAAAAAGAAATTTAATATAGAATAAAAAAAAAATAATGTTCCTTTTTTTTATCTTACTACTTTGAGATTAGAAATAAATAAAAATGCGACCGTTCTGACCAAAACATTCGAACATTTTTTCTTTAAGGTTCCTCTTTCAGATTGGATCACTTCTGCAATTTATTTTGATTTTTTATTATTAGCAGATCTATAATTCTCTGTTAAAAAAAATTCATTGCAAGTTACTTTATTATGTACAATTTGAGGTACATCTTACAAACATTCTTAAAATGTTTAAAATGTTACAACATAAAAATTTACGGTTAAAATTAATAATGAGCAAATCAATTAAAAAAAAAAATTAAAATAATTTGAAAGATTTCTGGCAAGATATTTAGAAACTTGGTTAATAATAATGTCTTGTCTCACACCAAAATATGGCGATCGGTAATATAATATATTCATATGAGCAACGGAACACTTTATGTTTGGAACTTCATACTCATCATCTTCTAATATTTCAATATAATTTTAGATTTTAAAAAAACTGTGGACATTTTTTTAAAAAAAAAAAAAAAAAAAAAAAATATTGTATTTATTAATGGAAAGAATTTTTGATAATTAAGAAAATCTTTAGTTAAAAAAAAAAATTCTGACGTAACTATTTTCTCTAATATTCTTAATTGAAATACTGCAAATCAACTTAATAGTTGTTTTTAATAAAACTAATGAATAAATTTACTTAATTCACTGTAAAAAAATATTAATATTCTCATCAATGACGGGTAGGGATTTTCGCGATTAATCGTTTCTCGAGATTCGATTGTAAGATTTACTGTAACTTCGGTTTCGATTAATCGATCCACAACGATTTTTTTTCATAATTTTTTTAGGTTCGACCAATTCGCGATCAAATAAAATCTTGTGCCTCTTATCTATTTGGATTCATAAAAAAATTATTATTTTTTTTTTTTTGATTGCATTTGGTTCTTTTACTTTTAAATTTTTTTTGAATTGTATTTTGTTTAAAAAATAATTTAATTTTATTGAACTATTTTTAATTATTAAATTTTTTATTATTTTTTTCTTAATAACGCTCATTAGTAAATAAAACGATATTTAATTTGAGCCAATAATATTTTTAGAGATGAAATCTTTATGAGTTAGATACGCTTAACCTTTTTATTTTGTTATTTTTTTTTTTTTTAAATTGTCTAAATTATTGCGACAAAATTGATCACGTGAATTCACTTTTAGCCAATAAATCTGACAAATTTCAATGCGCCCCTAAATTTGTCTCGCATTATTGTTATGGTTTCACTTTGTTTTCCTTGTCCAAAATTATAAATAAACTCGGAACTTCAAATTTTTTTTTTTTTTTCTTTTTAACGTAAAATGATGTCGAATAAAAAATATATTGAATGGTTAGAAAAATCTATTGCTAATAAATATGTCAACCATTTTGAATACTCTGAATTTCAAGATTTTCAACTAATAGGAAATGGTGCATTTGGAGAAGTTATGCACGCTTATTGGAAAAATCAGGGCTGCGATGTTGCATTGAAATCTTTTAATAATAATAAAACGACTTTGAAGAATATTGTAAAAGAGGTACAATTATATGTTATAATTATTTAAATAAGATTTATTAATCAGGTAAATTTGTTCTAAATGCCATATAGATAAAATTACATAAAGAAGTCGATTTTCATTCAAATATTATACGAATTTTTGGAATCACAAGCGAAGAAACCGGTAAGTTTTTAGAAATATCATGTAAAAATTCTTAATTATTTTACTAATACTCTTAATTTAATACAGCAAATAAAATGAAAAGATACTCTTTAGTCTTGGAATATGCCGATAATGGCACTTTATATGCATATTTAAAAGAGCATTTCAAAGAACTTGATTGGTGTGACAAATTTCAACTAGCTTTGCAAATGTCGAGTGCTATAGAATTTATGCATTATCGTGATATTGTCCATCTTGATTTGGTAAATAATCAATTTTTGTAATATCTTATTTACTGTATATAGTTCATTTATTAACTAATATTTGATATAAATTAGCATGCAAGTAATATACTCGTACATCAAAGATCAATTAAATTGGCGGATTTTGGTTTATCAAGAAAAATCACCGACACAACGTCAAGTAACGAGTCAAAGTTAATGGGAGTATTGCCCTATATGGATCCAAAAAGTTTAAATTATCGAGAAAATAAGAAATACAAATTAAATGATAAGTCCGATGTCTATAGTTTCGGAGTTTTGATGTGGCTTATTTCAAGTGGAAAAAGACCATTCTATGATGAAGATACTGATAATGATGCGAGAATATTAAACTTGAGAATAATCAATGGAGAAAGAGAAACAATCATTAGTGGAACTCCTATAGAATATAGTAATCTATATGAACGTAAGTATGTTTATAATTTTAATATTTGTGTTTTTTTTTCTAGGGATTTCTAATCTCATTTTATTTATTAGAATGTTGGAAATATGAACCGGATGAACGTCCAAGTATACAGGATGTTGTTTCAACTCTTAAAACGACTATTTCTTCAAAAAAAATTGAGATGGAAGTTTTACAGGATCAAAATCCTGTTCTATCGGATTCAATAGATTCTTTAAATAATTCCTCAAGTCAAATTATAAATTGGAATCAAAAAAATCAAAAATCTGGAGTAATTAGTCAAATGAATAATTATGCATCAAATGATTCTGAAATTATTCATCATTTGACTGGTCAGGAGAATATAGAAAAATTAGAATCAAATATTGAAGTATCATATATTATTTATGATGATACTATTGAAAGTTTAAGGATTACAGAATATAATAAGGATGACATATTAAACACCTTGGGAGGATTACAAAGATATCGCAAATTAACTAAACTATTTTGCTATAATGATTATACTAAAATTACTATCCTACCAACCTTACCCAACACTTTAACGGAACTTAACTTTCATGATACTTCATTAACTATCCTACCAACTTTACCCGATTCCTTAACAATTCTTGATTGCTCTTATACTAAATTAACTATCCTACCAACATTACCCAACTCCTTAACGACTCTCTGGTGTTATAAAACTGAAATAGCTAGCCTACCAACATTACCCAACTCCCTAACGGAACTTTATTGCTCTGATACTCCAATAACTATTCTACCAACATTACCCAACTCCTTAACAACACTCTGGTGTTATAAAACTAAAATAAATATCTTACCAACATTACCCAACTCCTTAACAACACTAAAATGTAATAATACTAAAATAAATAGCTTACCAACATTACCAAATTCCTTAACTAAACTCTATTGTAATAATACTCCAATAACTATCCTACCAACTTTACCAAACTTCTTAATGGTACTCAGATGTTGTATGACTAAAATTAATAGTTTACCAACTTTACCAAACTCTTTAACGGTACTTAATTGTTATAATACTCAAATAAATAGCTTACCAACTTTACCCAACTCCTTAACGGAACTTTATTGTTATGATACACCAATAACAATCCTACCAACATTACCCAACTCCTTAACGATACTTTATTGCTATATTACTCCAATAACTATCCTACCAACATTACCAAACTCCTTAACGGAACTTGATTGCTCTAATACTTCAATAACTTTCCTGCCAACTTTACCCAACTCCTTAAGGAAACTTAATTGCTTTGTTACTAATATAACTAGCTTACCAAATTTACCCGATTCCTTAATGAGTGTCCAACCTCGATTTTTAAAAACTAAACACCGCAATAACTATCTTGCTAAATTGAATATCTCCTGTACTATTACCTAAATTTTTAAACTTTTCAAAACTTTTTGAAGTTCAAATTTCTTTTGGAGAGTAAAGATATGATAAGCTTTCACATGTTTTAAAACTCTGAAAATAAATTGATTTATTGTATCAACATCAAAGTTTTAACCTTAATTAAATCTTTGTAATGTGAAAATTATTTTCTTTAAGAATAAAGCTTTCTTTCATTCTTAATAAATTTTTAAAAAAAGTATTCAGAATAATAATTGTAGTCCTCAATGTAAAAAAAATTGTCAATAAAATAAAATTAAATATAAAAAATAAATAAATCTTAACATTAATGATTTTACAAAAAGATCCAATTTTATTTATAAATTATGTAATTGTTTACAAATAATTTTCTAATTATTATAAAATAAATAAAGCATTAAATAACTTATTTATCTTTCATTTCTATTAATAAAAATTGAAATAATATTTAAAGAAAATTATTTTTAATGAGTTATTTAAATTCATTAGATATTTATATTATACATCTTGAGGGTCAAGTCAGTTCAAACAAAAAGCATGAACTGATCATTTGACCTGATTTGAACATCTTGAACAATTTATTATTATTCTAATTGAACAATTTTCTGTACAATTTGATTAATTAACCTATCAGTTAGATTGAGACTCTAATTGTAAAGTATAGTTTTTTTTAATAATCCAATATATTAAAATTACAATTATATGAAATTTCTATAAAATTTTATAATTCTATATCTGATTTAAATAGTTCAAAATATTTTGAGAATTAATTGTATTATGAAAGATATATGTAATATAATTATTTATATCTTTATACTTACAAAAACTAGCTATACTTATAAATTTGTAACTATTATAAAATTAGAAAGGGTTTTAATAGCTTTTTATTAAAAATATTAAATAATCCTTAAATAAATAAAAATATATAATAACTAATTTATATTCCCTTAAATAAATAAAAAAATATAATAACTAACTTACATTCTTTTATAAAAGTAGACAATATAAAAAAAATAGAATATTTCTTAACATGATTTTAATAAAAATTCTGAATTTTAATAATTTTATCATTAGAAAACATATTACATTTTTTTTTCCAATTATTAAATAAATAAAAAAAAGATATTTTTTAATACACATCATATTTTAAATTTTTGTAAAAAAAAAATGATTAATTTAATTTAACATTTTTTAAAAATATTAAATTTTTTTATGTTCAAAATAAAAAAGATCATATGAATTCAATATATATAATTTTATAAAATCCTGTAAATTTCAAATTTAAAATTTTTTCTGTATGATTTTCTGTTTTAAATATTCAATACATCTACAAAAAATGTATAAATTTATATTATCAATTGTAATTATTACAAATTTATAAATAAGATAATATAGGACTTCATCAATAGAAATATAATTAATGGCTTTTTTTAATTTTGAGATAATTAGGATTGAAATTTAGTGTAATAATAATAAAAGATAATCTATTATTAGCATTTTTATACAACTTGAAATTTAATATTTAACAACTATCTGATTATTTTAAAATATTTTTTTATAAAGAATAAATTCAAAATTTAATTTTTTAATTTAATTTAAAATATTGTATGTTGATTGTATAATAATCTTAATAATATATAATGCTTTTAAAAAAAAATTTAAAAAATTATTTTTGTATATTAATAAGCATAAAAAAATATAAATATTATTTATTTAAATAAATTATTTTAATTATACAGATCATAATTTTTTTCAAAATATATTGTATTATTTATTATTGAAGGTAAACTATTTTTATTATTAGATTAGATTACAAATTACTTTAATTTTTTGTAATTTTTGATGGTTTTAGAATTTTTGGTTTAGGATATGGATGATCTTGCTTTTCTTTAGTTTGAATATGCTTTTATATTTCTTCAAAAAGATACTATTATCTAGCTGCATTTAAACCAGGAAGTGAAGTAATTGCTGGACTTGATTTAGCATTATGTTTTGTTTCTTTTCTTGAAATTTCAATTAATTTTTTTTTACCATCAATAGAATTACTAATTTCTACTTTACCTTTATATTTATTATCAAAAATAAAGTAATGTTATTTTAAAATATTTGGAACTGTTTTGAAACAATCTTTTAATCATTCACTCCAATTATAAAAATTTACAACCTGATTTCCATTTTTATCAAAAACAATTTGTATAATATTATATCCATGTGTTGTTGAATTTTTGACTGCTTTAACTAAATCATCTAAATCATCAACCTCTGATTTAGCAAGAGCTAATTTAAATAATTTAAAAAAAGAATCTGGACTAAATTTGGTATGCCCAGTGATCATGAATGAATATGTGATTCTATAATGATATCCTATTATTACACATTATGCTAAATATGCTATGCTACCATTAAATTATTTTATTTTGACCAGAATAATTATTAGCATGAATGACTAACTATTTTTCTCCTAATCCATATAAAAAAAAATAATTATAAACTGAGGAGATAACTACATCTGCTTCTTTTCCAGGCATTCCACATTCTTTAATAAAATAATTTACCTAAAAATAATCAGAATATAATTATATAAATTAAAGATAAATTTATATTAATAAGTAATAAATTAATTTAATATAATCTACTTGACGAGAAAATGCATTATCACATATTTTAAAAATATGAATTTAATAAAGAGATTTAAAAAATGTATCATCTTAATAACATTAATTTAAAATGAATATTTTAATAAAATTTAATAAAGAAAATATAAATATAGACTTAAAAAAAAATAAAGAAATATAAAAAATTTACCTTTTATTGTGATGAAGAAGATAGTTGAATCTGTTAAGCAAAATTTTAAGATAAATATACTTCAATATCTAAAGAATTTAATTTTTTTAGATGAATTATATTTTCTTTACTAAGACTTTCAATTGTGACCTTTGCTTTTTTTATGCATTTTCTATAATAAGTTATTAATTA